GCGGGTAGGTTTCAGACCCCAAGCTCCAGCCTGTTGTAGCAGCAACAGCTGCACGGGTATTTTTAGCACTGTAGACCCAGGTTCTGACACTTGCTGCTACAGGACTTTGTTGGCTGTGTAGACATACCCTTAGAGGTTTTCAGTGCACAGAAATGCCCACGGTGTAAGGTCTGACGTCTCAGCCATGTTCAGGGTTAGGCCCCTCTCCTGAGTATCCCTCGGGGGTCTGAGCACAGTACATTACCCCGTTGCAAACGCACCATTCACCCCACTGTATAACCAGGCCCAGCTGCACAGGATGAACTGCCCTGGCGTGATCACTGGCGGGATCTGGAAAGACAAGGCACCCTGTGCTTGGGAGGGGGCTTTCGTAGGAACAAGACAGGGGGCTGTAGCTTTTGTTGCGTGGAGGGAGCCTTTTGAAAGGGTTTGTTCTGCCTCCCTGTACTGATGATGGCATGCCTTCCACAGCAGGGGAGGCTGAATGTCTCTGGCTCTCCAACGAGTTCCCCAGACAGTCCCTTTCCAGTCAGGGGCCAGCCAGAAGAGCCGCTTCCTCCAACAGGCTAGCACTTGGCCGCGGTATCTGCTTTTCCCCTTACTTATCTTCCGGGTGTTTGCTCTGATTATCTCTTTCTTTCCTCTTCGGCCTGCTGTTTCCTGTGCTGGTTACTTACTTGCATCCTTCCAATATGTGTGTTTGTCTTATCTCCTCCGCCCTGGCTGGGCTATGGGCCGGTTCACAGCATAGCACTCTCTGTCTCCTCTGTACAGTGGCCTGATGGGGGTGGGTCCCATGGGAACTGTCTCCCACGAGCTCCAGATCACTTGTGCTCCGGTTACCAGCGCAGAGACTGATGTCTTGCCTGATGGCAGTGCGGACAGGAACAGGAGCAGAGCAGCGAGCACATTCCACCTGCCAAAGAGCAATGAGCTGCTGGGCTTTTCTCCTGTCTCTACTCTAACTCTAACATCTGCAGAAGTGGCTGTCTAACTGTGCACCCGCATTCAGGCATCTAAAGAGGCAACCTGTTTATCCGAGAAGCTGGGTGCCTGGCCGTGCTCGTTGCCTTGTGCGTGCTCAGCCCCCTCTGGCAGTTGGGCCCAGAATGTTTCACACAGAATCATGGCCACTTTGAAAATGTTGGTTTCAAAGCAGCACCCTGCGCGAGAGCAAGATTAAAGGCACAGCACCAGGCTCCATTCATTCAGTGCCCATGGAAAGCGCAAGCAGGATGTTTGCTATGGGATGCTCTGTCATGAATAGATTACTAGAGAAAGTAGCCTACTGCGACCTTTTCCTGCTTGGCTCTCCCCACATCACGGGCGAAGCTGGGGTCTCGCAGACTGAGCCACTGGGCGGGCGGTTTGGAGAGCAATGTTCTAGTCTCAGAGTAACAGCCGTGTTAGTCTGTATTCGCAAAAAGAAAAGGAGTACTTGTGGCACCTTAGAGACTAACCAATTTATTTGAGCATAAGCTTTCGTGAGCTACAGCTCACTTCATCGGATGCATACCGTGGAAACTGCAGAAGACATTATATACACACAGAGACCATGAAACAATACCTCCTCCCACCCCACTGTCCTGCTGGTAATAGCTTATCTAAAGTGATCATCAAGTTGGGCCATTTCCAGCACAAATCCAGGTTTTCTCACCCTCCACCCCCCCCCCCCCCCCCACAAACTCACTCTCCTGCTGGTAATAGCCCATCCAAAGTGACAACTCTCTTCACAATGTGTATGATAATCAAGGTGGGCCATTTCCTGCACAAATCCAGGTTCTCTCACCCCCTCACCCCCCTCCAAAAACCACACACACAAACTCACTCTCCTGCTGGTAATAGCTCATCCAAAGTGACCACTCTCCCTACAATGTGCATGGTAATCTTGGTGGGCCATTTCCAGCACAATGTTCTAGTCCTGCCTCTGCCACTGCTGTGGTGTGTGATGTCCCGTCCCATGCTGTGTGCCATGGGGCCTGTGAATGGAAAGCTCTCCATGGGAGGCTGTGCCATGCCTGCAGCCCCAGGGTGGTTCAGAGCAGGTGGTTTTGCCTGGTTGAAGGCATTTGCACCAGAGCAGCGTGGGAGGGATTTGCTCACCGTGGATAGGCAGCAGCCAGACTACTTGAGATATCCCTGCTCCTCTGGGGTTAAAACAGCCTGGCCCAGATTTGTTCTGAGAGGAGCATGGGCAAGTGCTCCAGTGAGGAGCAAAGCCACCAGGGTCAGGTCAGCCTGGAAAGCCCCCAGGAAGTTTAGCTCCTTCTGAGAATGCCTCAAAACATGTGAAAGGTTTCCTTTCCGTCCCCACGTCCGCCCATGAGCTCCCCACCCGAACAGCTCCTTGAGACACAGGACAAGAGCCAGCACAGTGCACAGAAGACGTGCTTTGAAATCTTAGGAACATGGTAGCTGCTGGTCCCAACTTTATCAGCTACAGGCAGGGCTTTCCTGGGGCATTTCTAATCTGAAGTGTAAAGGTGGGTGCGGTTCAGATCAGGGGGTTGTCCAGCCCATAATGTGCACATCTGGACTGAGGACGACTCCCCAGAAAATAAAAATGTTTGCCGTTGTGGATGGCAATTCCATGCCCCATGGAGCAGAGATGAAAGAGAGGCCGGTATGTTTATGGCAGTCCTGCTGTTCTAGCTGAGATCTGGAAGAGGCTCGGAATATAACAAGAGAAAACACATGGAAATACTCTGACCTTTTCCCACACACTGCTGGGCTCTGAAATGACAGGGAGCTCAGAAGAAGGCCTGGGAGTCATTGTGAATAGGGCATGCTGAAGATGTCTGCCTGAGGCACAGCCCTAGCTAAACACTCAGAGGATACACAATGGGTGAGGGGGCAAAATAGTGAACCGTGGGACATGTCCCGAGAAAGAGAGAGTGAAGGCTGAAAAGCTCCAGCGTAGCAAGGAAGATGGAGGGGGTTGGTCGTCGGGGGAAGACTAGGAGTCAGGAGACCTAGATTCTCTTCCAGGCTCTGCCATGGATCCACTATGGGAACGTGGCAGGTCTTTTCCCTGGTTGTTGCCTCGGGTTCCCCATCTGTGCATTGGGGAGGTTCTACAATTCATTATTGTCAGTAAAGCATGTTAGGGGGCAGTAACAAGGAACAGGGTGTGAAAGGTATTAAACCATGTCTACGTTCACCCTCATCATAACAGCTCCCAAAGGGACAGGACCTCCTTGCTGATGGACCACCAGCCGGACTGATCTGTAGCTGGGTCCCTGAGACGGGCTAGCTGGATGAGCAGTCTGTGTCTGCCATTGCCAGTCTTACTGCACCACCAGAACCTCTGGTGCCCATGTGATCACTGGCTGCCTTGGGAAATGCACTTTGCAATTCGTTCTTCCAACCTAGCCATACGTCCATACCCGGACTGCCACCCCCACCAAACCAGTGCTGCTGGAGTGGATTCAGGGTCAGCTATGACTGTCCTCCTGGCCAATATGAACCATGTTTGTTAAAATGGGTGAGCTAACACTGTTTAACCATGACCCCTTGTCCTAGCCCAGACGTGCTGGATACTATGAGTGGCCAGGGCACAGGGAACCATAGACTGACATACTGTTGTGATGTACAGGTCACACAGGCACTGTGTGAAATACAGACACTTTGGGGAGTTCCAGGAACAGTGATACTGAATCAATGCGAGACTGGGTCACCATCCACAGGACCAGTCATCTCCGATCAGACCACTGGGCCATGGAAGTTGGTGGATTTGCTTCTAGCCAGGAGGCTAACTCAGTGGTTCAGTTTTTTTTCAGGTCCGTAAGCAACTGAACTGACTTTGGCCAGGCAAAAAACAATCATAGAATATCAGGATTGGAAGGGACCTCAGGAGGTCATCTAGTCCAACCCCCTGCTCAAAGCAAGACCAATCCCCAATTTTTGGCCCAGATGCCTAAATGGCCCCCTCAAGGACTGAACTCACAACCCTGGGTTTAGCAGGCCAATGCTTGAACCACTAAACTAGCCCTCCCCCTCAACAACCCAACCTGTGGTCGGAAGCCAAGCCTGGGAGGCTGAGGTTAGCCAGTGGGGCTGCCTGAGCAGAGATAAAAGCACTCATACTGCACCTGGCTAGCTGAGCAGTGCTGGGCACAAGTCTCTCTTGGTCTCCTCTGGCAAGTGTTTATGCCCTAAAACCAGATACATGATTACCCCTAAAACCAGAGTTGTTCCAATTGGCCCTTCATAGGGCATGCTACCACCCCTGTGACCAGGCCAGCCCCCCAGGGCCCACAGGAACAGACTCCGGCTCCCTCCCCTGTGGCTGGACCGGTACCACAGGGCCCACAGGAACAGACTCTGGCTACCTCCCCTTTGGCTGGGCCAGCCCCACAGGGCCCATGGGAACAGACTCTGGCTACCTCCCCTGTGACCAGGCCGGCCCCGCAGGGAACACGGGAACAGACTCTGACTCCGTCCCCCATGGCAGGGCCCACAGGGACAGGCTCCAGCTCCCTCCCCCATGGCAGGGCCCACAGGAGTAACAAGTGGCAGACCTGTCTCTTAGTCGAGTTGGTGGCTCTGACTGTGAGACACGCAGGGAGCTGGTGAGATGAGACAGGAGCTATTTCTACAGAGTCACTTCTCAAGGTAGAACTGTACTTTACTGCAGCTGGGGGCTGAGCCCTGGCCCCCGTTTAAAGCCCTTCTGTTAACTCATGGAGGTGAGCTTCTTAGCAGGAGGCCAGGGAGGGTATTTCCTGGGGGTGGCTGGGTGAGCCTGCTTTGCTCCTGTTCTCCAGGTTGGAGGGGTGACCCTACAGCTGTGGAGGGTTTGCAGAGCCTTGCAGGGACCAGCAGCTCTTGCTCACGGGGCCCTGACACACCCAGCAAAAGGACTGGGAGCAAGAAGGCGAGGGGGACAGAGAAAGGAAGGTGCTGGCCCTTTAAGGTGGGGCTGCTGAAGCTGCTCTGTGGGAGGTGGAGCAGTTAATGGGAGGCAGGACCTAAGTGTCCCCTGCTTAAGGCAGCTCTTCAAACCAGCCCAGCTTGGCCGGGGAGGGGGCGGCTCGGGCAGCTCCTGGTAAAGCAGGAGGCTGCTGGCTGCAAGCTGAGGGCTGGCCGGGGAAGGAGCCGCAGGGAGCAAAGGCAGCTGCTCTGAGGGGGTCGCAGCTGCCTGAGTTTTGGAAGAAGTGGCATGTCCAGCTCCTGGAGCCCCTGGGATTGGTGAGTCCGTCCGTGACTTCTTGTCTATGGCCCCAGTGACTTGAAAGCACCGAGACTCCCTCACGCTCCAGGGCCAAGCCATGGCTGGTGCAATTCGAAGTGGCTGCGGCGGGGTGTGAGTTCTGATTTGGGAGTCCCCTTGTCACTTGGAAACCTGCCGAGCTTTTCCCTGGGGCACGACCCTTTGCAGCCGGGACACGGTGAGCACCCAGCAGCCTCTGGCTGCGCCATCTCCCCTGCTCTGGGGGCTCCTCCAGCAGAAGGGTTTCCCCAGGCTCCCGCTAAGGGCTCTCCCAGGAAGGCGCCGTCTTGTCACCCGGCGGGGCTGCTGGCGGCTGCTGGGGAAGGCGGGGGCGCACGACAGGGCCAGCTGGCCCCTGCGCTGCCCGGGGGCCCCGGCAGTGCCAGGCCCGGCAGTGCCAGGCCCCGGCGCGGGCGCTGCGCCCTGCTGCTCGGGAGGAAACGCGTCTTGATGTCGGCGGCTGCCCTGGTTGTGAGGGGCAGGGTGGGGACCGCGGACAATGTGCCGGCGGCTTCCTCCTGCCTCTGTGGCCGCTGGCCGGGCCGGGGTCATGCGGTCACGGCCTGGCCCAGGGGGCCCACGGGCGGCCCCTCGGGGCGCTGCGCGGTTACTGTTCGCCAGAGGAAGTCGCTCGGCAGCTCCAGGATGCCCCGCTCGGCCCGGGGCTCAGCCCGCCCTGCCCGGGCTGCGGGGCCGCCTGGTGTCCGCTCCCTGGCCGCCCACGGGCGGCGCCGCCGGGCGCTGCTCCCGGGGAGGGGGCGGTGCGATGCGGGCACTCGAGGGAGCTCCCCCAGCACGTGAGAGAAGTGGCGGGGCTCTGAGCCCACCCCTGAGCAGAGGCCGCCTGGGCATCCCCTCCCCAGGCACCCCTGCCCCGCCAGCTGCTGCAGCGTGTCCCCTTAGCAGAGCTGCTCGGAAGAGGGGCCAGGAGAAGTCGGGGCCATGTGGGGAACGGGCGCCTTCTCAGTAGGGCAGGCCCAGCCTCTCAAAGGCAACCTGCAGCCCGCAGCCCAGAAAGCAACCTGCAAAGGAAAACAATGGGGCTCTTGCCTTTCCCAGAGGCGTGGGGACAGGCGGCGGGGAAGGCTTTCTGTGCTGCTTTTCTCTGCTCTCTTGCATTAGACATTCAGGTCTCATCTCCCCTGCTGACCCTGGAGGACTCTCTGGAGCCCTGGGAGGATGAGGACATCCCAGACCCCCAGAGCTGACCTCGAACTGCGTGGGGCAGCGTTTCTTAGCAGACGGTTTCAAACACCGGGATTGCTTTGTTTACACCTATTTAACTCAAATGCCTAATAAATAGCTGAGAGAAAAGCCCTCTTTGGAGGGGAATTGCAAAACGCTGGCCCCTTCTGTTCAGGGCTCAGACAGTTCTCAGATACCTGGGCTGTCGGGGAAACCTTCAGCAACACCAGGACAGATTTCACCTTCCTGACGCTTCTTGGATAAATCGCAAACAAGAAAAATTGCATTTTGGAAGAGTCCCTTCAGGTGCCTTCGCCTTTCAGAGAAAAACGAAACCGTGACAAGCTAGACTGGTTTCCCTTAGCAGCCCCTGTACAATTCCAAACTTTCCTGTCCCTGCTGGCGTACGCACCCTCTCGTCCGTGCTGGGGCCGTAAGAGCAAGCAACCCGTGCCGGGCCCCTCGGAACTGCCTTTCGTCAGCATCAGAGTCTGCTTAATTGGGGCCAGGGACGCAGCTTCTGGATAAACAGGTCCTTTAGACGAACAGTTGTCTTAGGGTCCCTCAGCACTGTGGCCATCCTCTCTCTAGGCCAAACACCAGCTGCTCACGCCCACGTGGGACAGCTTCGTCTGCTGAGCGTTCGGGGCCAGCCGGGGTGGGGAGAGGGTGCAGTGGAGTTGCTCAGGTGCTGGAGGTGCCCTTGCTTCTCCTATGGGCACTGGAGAGAGGGGCCCAGGTAGGTGCCCATGGGGGGGATCTTTGGGCGAGGAGGAGCGTATGCATTCCTGCCCCTCCTTTCGAGAGGTGGGAAGGGATGGAGAGTTTGGTGGATAAAGGGCTGGCGGGGGGAGCTGGCTGTGGCAGGATCTATGGGGTGAATGGCAAAGGGGGGTGGAGAGGCAACGAGGAGGGACCCAGCGCACAAGGAGAGAGGTGGGGACTGGGAAGATCCAGCTGGGAATGCAGGGCTGAGGGGGGCAGCTGCGGGGCTGATCTGCGGGCACGGTACCCGGTGTCTGAGTGTGGCTGGCACGTGCCTTTGCCCATCTGCTTGGGAGTGAGGGAACGTCCCTCCTCCATTGTGAGGGTCCTGCCGGGGGAGCAGCTGCAGGATCTTCCAGCTAGTTGTGGTGTCAGGGAAGGGGTAGGGGGCTGTTTCCCCAGCCTGAGCCCTGCTGTCCTGCCACTGCCAGCTCCCGGCCGCTTCCTGCTGCCGGGGCGAAGCCTGGCACAGCAAAGCCAAGGACACTTGGGCTGGAGGCTTCTTTCCATCACCCAGAGGGCAGCTTGCGCTTGAGCAGGATCTACCATGCCAGCTCCTTGCTGGACCTGCCCTCGCAATTCACTGCTCCCCAAAGTCCTGTGTACAAATCCTCCAACCCCCTGCAGCCGTGGCCTGGCCCAGTGTGGAGCTCCGAGACTGCACTTACACCAAGGCAAATGTGCTGCCCCACCTGCCGGGGAGGTCGTGACTCTTCCCAGGATGAAGGGCCATTTCCCCCTCGTCACCAGAGGGACATCAATGGTACATGAGCCTGGCTCTGCCCAGGCTTGGCCAGCCAATGGCTGAAAACCCGCCCGGCTCAGGGCTGCTGCTTTGCCAAGCCATGAGGAACCCCCTCCCCTGTGTCAGGGCAGTTTTCTTCCAACTGCCAGAGCCTCTAGCCTGGTGCTTCCTTGGCTATGTTTGTGTTCACCGAGACTCGAAATACTCCTCGGGAAGGTGCCTGTGGCTTCGGTTCACATCCTGAGTAGCTTCGTCTGCATGTTGTGTGAGCGTTCAGCAAAGGACAGTTGAGTGAGTCACTCCAGGGCTTGTGGCCACCCCACCCACCACGCTGGGTTTCTCTCTGCAAACTCTCCACACCTTCCTCCATACCCATTGTGCCCTCCGGGGCTCCCTGGTCTCTCCCCCACGGTGGCCGACCCCTGTCTCGGAGGGCTGCAGAATAAGAGGGTCTGTGTTCATGGCCTTCCCTGGGTAACCAAGAGACCGCAACTTGGGTGTCCCCTCTCCATGGTATCTGATGTGCCCCCCATTCTGATGGCTCCCACTGCCCCAGAGCAGCTGGTTGTTCTTTGTAAAACAGTAGCCAGTGAACTTAAATGTTGGGTGTCATTAGGCTCCAGAGTGAACATGCCTTTGCAATGAACATGGGCAGTTTGCAGTGCACAGAGCTGTAGCTCTCCTCTTAGGGTATGTCTACACTACAAAATTAGGTCAAATTTATAGAAGTCAATTTTTAGAAAGCGATTTTACACAGTCGATTGCGTGCGTCCCCACTAAGCGCATTAAGTCGGCAGAGTGCGTCCACAGTACCGAGGCTAGAGTCGACTTTGGGAGCGTTGCATTGGGGGTAGCTATCCCACAGTTCCCGCAGTCTCCGCCGCCCACTGGAATTCTGGGTTGAGCTCCCAATGCCTGATGGGGCAAAAACATTGTCGCGGGTGGTTTTGGGTACATGTCATCAGTTGCCCCTCCCTCCGTGAAAGCAACAGCAGACAATCATTTCGCGCCTTTTTTCCGTGCGGGCCCCATACTGCTGTCAGTAGCCGGTGCAGTAGGATGCTAATTATTGTCATCGAACAACAGCTTCCGCTGCCACTCTGCTCTCCTGCTTGTGCTCTTGTCTCGATAGCAAATTTCTCCATGTTGTCTCTCATGGGCTCCCTCTTCCACTGCCACTCTGCTCTCATGAATCCACCTCACAGGTTGTCAGCCACCGCTTCCGCGGCCACTCTGCTCTCCCAGTGGTCTCGCAGGGCCACTTCCGTGGCCACTCTGCTCGGCTGCTCTTGTCTCGCCATAAAACGGCTTTGAGCGTGCAGCCCGCTCAGCTGTTGTGTCCTGGCAGTGGACGGTGCAGTAGGTCTGCAAACCATCATCACTGAATGACCGCTTCTGCTGGCACTCTGCTCTCCTGCAGACGCCAGACCACAGCAAGCATGGAGCCCGCTCAGCTCACCGCGGCAGTTATGAGCATTGTAAACACCTCGCGCGTTATCGTGTGGTACCTGCAGAACCAGAACCTGCAAAAGGAGGCGATGGCAGCGCGGGGATGAGGACATGGACACAGACTTCTCTCAAAGCACGGCCCCCGGCAATTTGGCCATCCTGGTGGATGGTGGAGAGTCGCCTTGTTTACTCCCCTGCCCCACCTCCAGCGCGAGGAAGACTTGCTGTTTCAGCTCCTGACACCACCAGCCTGTTTGCACCCAACAGCCTCCACTGGGCAACGCCAGCCCATGCTCTGCCATGCCCCCCGAGCCCCCTGCAGTGTCCAGCCCTGACCCACTGGCCGCTCACAGAAGCTCCCAGCTGCGATGGCCCCCCAGCACACTGTGCGCTGTTCCAGTTTCTTTGGGTCAGCTGAGCTCAGCCCCAGGCTTAGGGTAACCAGACAGCAAGTGTGAAAAATCGGGGTAGGGGGTGGGGGGTAATAGGAGCCTATATAAGAAAAAGCCCCAAATATCGGGACTGTCCGTATAAAATCAGGACATCTGGTCACCCTACCCAGGATGCCAGCTTTGAGATGGACTATAGTGAAAATAATCAGTGCTAAGACTTCAGAGATGGCACCTTGGGATAATGGTGGGCACAGAGTGGTTACATACAAAACAAAAGGTATCATGTTTCCTGGAGTCTCAGCTTAACTTGGCACTGGGGCACTCTGTGGCATGATGCCATCCCTGCTGTCTCTCTCTTTACTCCTGGTGCTGTGTATGGCTTTTCCCCACTGGCTTCTCTCCTAGGTGGCTGTTTGAAGAAGTCCCCGGCCCGTGGAGTGGGTGGCAGAGGGAGGCTCTCCATTTGCATGGTGCTGGCGAAAGCAGGACATGACAGCAAACACAGGTAGGGACACAGGAGTCAGACCAGTGGGGGTCTCTAGCTAACAGAGCTGACCTGGGAGGCAGCCCAAGGAAGTGCAGCCCACGTGCTTGCAGACCTAGAGCCAGACCGCCGCCCCGACGGCTGCTCCTGGGTCCCTGTGCTGCCTGCGTGATGCCCCCCAGCCAGGCACAGGGAGCTGCCTCGGGCCAAGCAGGCAAGGAGCAGAGATTGCCTGAGTATGGTACGGTGGCGCCCGCTGTGCGGCGAATGGCTCCCTGGCTGCGCTGCCTGTTGCAGTCCCATTGATGGGATAACTGACTGAGAGATGTTTCAGTGGGTTGTCAGAACCCCATAGGCTGCTCCGAGCCCTGGCTTCGCCCTGTCTAGGCACCTTCTCCTCTTGGGCGTGGGGCCATCTCAAAACCTGCCCTGCTGCATGGACCATGCTTATCGCAGCTGTTGGTCGTTTATTAACCCCGCATGAACTACAAACAGAGCAAGGGGATCATGGGACTGTCTCCTCCCCCCCCGCCACCCCCAGAGTGTGTGATCACCGGCAGGCAGCGTGAGCAATGCAGGGGCTAGGACTGTCCTTTCCCAGCGTCTCTGGGCACTTCTCTCAGGCCCAACCCTTCACCCTGGCTCCATTCCAGGCCAGGCCCCGTCTCTGGGTCCAGCTGGGTACACTGGGTTTCAGCACCATCTTCTCCGCACTGACCCCTCGCAGACATACACCAACCTCTGCGGTTTCTTCTCCCTCCCTCCCGCTCCCCTCCCCCAGCCAGATGGCAGGGGTGCAGCTGCTGGTTCAAGATAAGACTGTGCAGGGACGTGCCAGCCACAGCTGGTCTCCTGCATCCCGAGCCCAAGGGGATCCTGCCTGCCAGGATCTCTGGGCAGGGCTCTCTTGCTGGCTGACTGCCCCAGGCCCTGCCGACAGAGCTCCTGCTCTTTGCACCGTGCTTGGTGCAGCATGCACCAGGGCAGAACCCACCTGTCTCTCTGGCTCCCCTGCCATCTCTGGGTAGGCAGGGGTCTTTCAGGCCCAGGCAGCGGTTGCATGGCTGGGAGGGATCACTCACGAGACCCCAGGTGGGGTGTCAAAAGCCAGTGGGGAGTGGAGCCTTCGGCTCAGAGCTGGAGGTGGCTGGAGCTGTCAGCTTTCCCCCGCACTTTCTGGGCTTGCGGGGGGTGCTCGGGCCTCTCGGGCCCAGCTGTGGTTTGTGATGTCACCATGCCACATTGCTCTGAACCGCTAGACTTGGCAGCCGTTGCTGGCACCCTGCCTGCTGAGTTTCTGGCTCTGACTGGTCACAGTCCAGGCTCCAGCTACACTGAGAGGAGGACCAGGCTTTCCTAGGGGCCCAGGAGTGCCCCCCTGTGGGGCTTAAGAGGGGGCAAGAGGAATGGCAGGAGAGCTCCCTCAGGGGGGACAGACAATGTCCCAGCTGGAGCAGAGCGTGGAGTCTGTCACAGGAGGCCTGGCCAAGGGGACAGGCAGGGCAAATACACTGAGCATGAGGCACATAGGAGCTGCCAGACTGGGTCAGATCCTGGGTGCAGCCTAGTATCCTATCTCCAGCCGGGACTGGCACCAGCTGCTGCAGGGGAAGGTGTAAAAACCCCACAATAGGAGGTGCTGAATAATCCACATCACACATGGACCCCTCCTCATCTCTAGTGGACAGAGATTGGCTCAAGCCATGAAGCAGGAGGGTCAATATCCTCTGTCATCGTTACGTATGATCACCCTGGCTAGTTGTATTAGCTGTATCAATGCCTCAGTCCTATTTCGATTCTCGTTAAGTTCCTGGCTGCAATGACTTCATGTGGCAGTGAGTTCCACTGGCTAATTACGTGTTGAGGGCAGGGAGATTTCCTTTTATTGATGTTTGAATTTCCTACCTTTCAATTTCATTGAATACACCCTTGTTCTGAGACTGGGAGAATAGCTGCTCCCCATCTACTTCCTCTATTCCAGTCAGCATTTTTTGGATTCCATTGTGGCCCCTCTTCTCATTTCTAAGGCTTTGTCTTTACTGGAACTTCGTCGGCAAAACTTTTGTCATTCAGGGGTGTTAAATCTCCCCCTGCCCCGAATGACAAAAGTTTTACTGACAAACACCCATGTGAACAGCGCTTTGTCGACAGGAGCGCTCTGCCGCTCATGGGAGGTGGAAGTTTTTTGTTGGCGGAAGAGCTCTCTCCCGCCAACAAACAGCAGCTACACTACGCACCTTTTAGTGGCGCGGCAGTGTAGACAAAGCCTTAGATAACCATCCTAGTCTCTTCAACCTGTCTTCATAGGAGAGCTTTTCTGGACTCTTGATTACACTTGTTACCCTTCTCTGAACCTCCTGCAGGGACATGGTGACCAGTACTGCACAAACTGTTTGGATGTGGCTGCCTGCTGATTTATATTCAGACATTAGAATGGGTTTGGGTTTGGAAAGAGGGGACTGGTTCATAGAATATTAGGGTTGGAAGGGACCTCAGGAGGTCATCTAGTCCAACCCCCTGCTCAAAGCAGGACCAATCCCCAATTTTTTCCCCCAGATCCCTAAATGGCCCTCTGAAGGATTGAACTCACAACCCTGGGTTTAGCAGGCCAATGCGCAAACCACTGAGCTATCCCTCCCCCCTTGATATGGGGCTGGAGTCTGCAGCTCAAGGCCCTGCTTGAGGCCCAGGTCTTCTGCCTGTCATCTCAGCACAGAAATGCTCTGATCGCTCACTGCCTGGAGCTGGCCAGTGTTTTCCCCAGGAATTGAAATTGTGTGTGTGTGTACTATTCAGGGCAGGTGAGGGCCGACAAGGGTTGAGACTGTGAGGGCAAAGGTGGGCTGTATGGCACCATATTAAAAACTGAAAAATGTTTCATGACTATTTTATTAGATTTAACTCAAGTTTTAAAATCATCACAAAAATTAAAGTTGGCTACTCCCTGTACTACAAAAAGAACAGGAGTTCAATAGCTACAACCTTCTTGGTTTCTTCCTGTAATTTTGGTGTCTTCTTGTGTGTCCATTACTTCCAGTCCTTCAGGATTATGCTCATGATCAGGCAGAAGGCGACTTCTTTCAAAACACAAAATTCTATTCAGTGATGAAAAAGAACGCTTGGCTGTAGCTGTTGTGACTGGGAGCCGCAAGAGATGAATTCCTACTTCTTTCATCCCGGGAAACAGCACAAAGATCGGGTCGAGCCACTAGTGATGATAAAAAAGAAGTTGAAGTCAAATCTTCATTTGTTTGTCCTATGATATTCCACTCTGTGTTCAAAATTCTCTACTCTGTCCTGAGCACTTGGCAGCCCCATGGCTGGCAGTGCCTCGCCCCACTCAACTGTCGGTGTTTTATAGAACAGGCATCTGTAAAAGCTACGTAGAGGTCGAGTAGAATCCAGAAATTTCTACTGTAGATTTGTAAAAATCAAGTCTGTGTACTTTTTCAGCTGGCTTAACAAACACTTCTTGTCCCCTTCACTTAAGGAGTCAATATAAATACCTTCATTAGTCAACTTCTGGACTGAATTCTTTGCTTCTTCCCGTACGCTTTTCAGTGGATAGCTCTCGGATTGCTCCAAGGGTAGACAAAGATCTACTACTGTTGTAGCAAAAGCCTGGATGACATTGTTTAATGACCCAAGTGGTTTCAACAGTAGATTTACAAGAGAGAGAATGGCGATAGTCTTCAGCCCTTCTAGCTCTGTCAATCTGTTTCTTCACTTCAGCAGGTGGGTATTGTAGTTTTAAGAACATTTGATAGAGATCCTGTAGCTGTTTGTCTCTGTCTGGGGAATTGGAGCAAATACAGTTGTGTCTTAGAGCTTGGCTGTAGACAATGGATCGTGTGATGTGGTGTGGATGAAAGCTGGAGGCATGTAGGTAAGTATAGCGGTCAGTAGGTTTCCGGTATAGGGTGGTGTTTATGTGATCATTGCTTATTTGCACTGTAGTGTCTAGAAAGTGGATCTCTTGTGTGGACTGGTCCAGGCTGAGGTTGATGGTGGGATTGAAATTGTTGAAATCATGGTGGAATTCTTCAAGGGCTTCTTTTCCATGGGTCTGAATGATGAAGATGTCATCAATGTAGCGCAAGCAGAGTAGGGGCGTTAGGGGACGAGAGCTGAGGAAGCGTTGTTCTAAGTCAGCCATAAAAATGTGGCCATACTGTGGGGCCATGCAGGTACCCATAGCAGTGCTGCTGATTTGAAGGTATACATTGTCCCCAAATGTGAAATAGTTATGGGTAAGGACAAAGTCACAAAGTTCAGCCACCAGGTTTGCCGTGACATTATCGGGGATACTGTTCCTGACGGCCTGTAGTCCATCTTTATGTGGAATGTTGGTGTAGGGGGCTTCTACATCCATAGTGGCTAGGATGGTGTTTTCAGGAAGATCACTGATGGATTGTAGTTTCCTCAGGAAGTCAGTGATGTCTCGAAGATAGCTGGGAGTGCTGGTAGTGTAAGGCCTGAGGACAGAGTCTACATAGCCAGACAATCCTGCTGTCAGGGTGCCAATGCCTGAGATAATGGCATGTCCAGGATTTCCAGGTTTATGGATCTTGGGTAGCAGATAGAATACCCCTGGTTGGGGCTCTAGGGGTGTGTCTGTGTAGATTTGTTCCTGTGCTTCTTCAGAGAGTTTCTTGAGCAGACGGTGTAGTTTCTTTTGGTAACCCTCAGTGGGATCAGAGGGTAATGGCCTGTAGAATGTGGTGTCAGAGAGTTGCCGAGCAGCCTCTTGTTCGTATTCCAACCTATTAATGATGACAACAGCATCTCCTTTGTCAGCCATTTTGATTATGATGTTAGAGTTATTTCTGAGGCTGTGGCTGGCGTTGTGCTCTGTATGGCTGAGGTTATGGGGCAAGTGATGCTGCTTTTCCACTATTTCAGCCCGTGCACGTTGGCAGAAGCAATCTATGTAGAAGTCCAGTCTGTTGTTTCAACCTTCAGGAGGAGTCCACGCAGAATCCTTCTTTTCGTAGCGTTGGTAGGAAGGCCTCTGTGGGTTA